GGGGGCGGGGGCCCGGAAGGAACCCCGGGGGGTGGGGGGGGGGGAAAGCCGGTGCCGAGGCCCACAGGGGCGAGCAGGTGCCGCCATCCCGGGTCCAGCGCGGCAGAGGATGCGGGGGATTCTGCCCGCCTGGCCCCAGCACTCAGCCCCTGTAGGTCAGGTCCCCTCTGTGGTGTGTGGTGGCCCAATGGCAGAACGTCCCTTTTCTGTCCCAGGGGACCCCAAGGTGCCGGTGCTGTACGAGGTGGAACGGACCCGTACAGGGAAGAGCTTCTCTGTTCGTTCTGTGAAGGCCATCCAGCACGGAAAGCCGATCTTCATCTGCCAGGCCTCCTTCCAGCTCTCCCAGGGTAGCCCGGTGCAGCACCAGTTCACCATGCCTGCTGTGCCGCCCCCTGAGGAGCTGCTGACGCAAGAGGAGCTCATCCAGAAGTTTCTGCAGTGAGTGGGATGGAAGGGCCACACTGGGGACGCCCCTCTCTGCGGCTGGGGCTTAGGGAGGCGCAGGGATTGGGGTGACTGCCTGAGAAGTTCCCAAATATGCCTGGGAGGGGAGTATAGAAGCAGGACAGGACAGGGTAGGAGCCGTGCCCCTCCTGCCTTTCTGTGTGGCCCTGGGTCCCTGGGCTGAAGCCGCTGCCAGCAGGACGTGCCCCTGGCCTGCCTGGCATTGACCTCACTTCTCCGTGTTGGTCTCCAGGAATCCTAACTTGGCAGAGAGATACAGAAAGCATCTCAACAAGATTCAAGCTGAAGATGTGCCGATTGATATCAAACCCGTCAACCCACCAGATGTGTTCTGTTCGGAGCCGCAGGAGTCGAAGCAGCTCTTCTGGGTGCGAGCACGAGGTTACATAGGTGGGTCCCGCCAGGAGGGTGGGTCTCGCCGAGGGCTCACGCTCAAGCTCAGACTGTAGAGCACGCTCGTGATGGAGTGGGCCCAAAGGGTCGTGATTCAGAGGCTGTCTGTGCCCCAAGCCTGCGGGGAAGCCTCGGGATTTCAAGGCTGAAATACGGGCGTGGGTGCCGGAGCACAAAGTGATGCCCATGTGCCGTGCTCAGCCACGGCGGGCCTTCCCCGGGGGGCACGGCCAGGGGAGCGGGTCTGAAAGAGCATCCCAGCACTGCTTGGCCAGCCGCTGCCCCTTGGGGAAGCAGAGCTCCTGGGGCTTTGCCTCGCGCTGCGCGCCCAGGCTTGTCCCACGGCCACCCCGTGGGGGACGGGCAGTGCTGGTTGCTTTGCAGGAGAGACTGACATGAAGGTGCACTGCTGCGTGGCCGCCTACATCTCCGACTACGCCTTCCTGGGCACGGCCCTGCTCCCGCACCGGCAGTACCACATCAAGTTCATGGTGTCCCTCGACCATTCCATGTGGTTCCACGCACCCTTCCGAACGGACCACTGGATGCTGTATGAGTGTGAGAGCCCCTGGGCTGGTGAGTCCTCACCACGTTCGCCGGGGACCTGCGTGGCCAAGGCCATCCCTGCCCGTCCCGGGGGGCGGCGGGCCGCGGTCTGACGGGCCCTCTCTGCAGGCGGGTGCCGGGGACTGGTGCAGGGACGGCTGTGGCGCAGGGATGGGGTCCTGGCTGTCACCTGCGCGCAGGAAGGAGTCATCAGGGTGGAGCAAACGCCAAACCAGAGCAAGCTTTAGCTGAGGAACCCCCGCGGGCTGGGGCTCAGGCATGCCGAGGGAGCGACCCCAGGACCAAAACAGATGCGGGCAAGGCAGGACCTGAGCGGCAGCGGGAAGGAGCCTCAGGGACCGGGCTGGATCCAGCACTGTGGGGAGTGCTGGTGCCAGAGGCCCTCTGCGATGGATGATGACCCACAGAGGCACCCGCTGTGACCAGCTGCCAGCTGCGCATGCACTGCGATTGGCCACCCTCCACCTGCCTTGAATAAAGCCGCCAGGTGACCAGCTGGGCTCCGTCCCCTGGAGTTTGTCCCCTCGGCCCCGTGGTTGTGCTCGCTCGAGGGAGCCTGCCCTGGCAGGGGGAGGGCGGGCAGCACGGGGTGGTGGGGTCGGCTCTGCCCCCGCAGCAGGGGAAAGTGCTACTGCGGCACACGTGGCTTCCCCTTCTCACTTCTCCTGCCCTCCTCATGGCCCCGTGCTTGTGTCAGTCGCTGCTTCTGCTCACCCTCGGTCTCCCAGGCTCGGGAGAGGGCCCAGCCACTGGGAGCCAGGGAATGGGGATGTGTCAGCTCCCACCGCAGCGTGGGGGGCTTGAGGCTTCCTGCTGCTGGTGCCCCGGGGGAAGTGAAGCTGGACAGACACAGCAGGCACCTTGCTCTTCTTCCTACCAAGGCTTTATTTAATAAAGTCCTTTGTATTATATAAGTTTCATGGGAAGTTCCTGGCAAGAGCCCCGGACCCTGCCAGAAGCCTTCCCGTTCCCTCACGCAGTGCCGATATGTCCCAGCTAAAGTCCCGTCCGCTCTAGAAGCCCCCCGCAGCAGGGGAGCCGGCTCCCGGCAGTGCCGGTGCGAGGGGTGAGCGCCCATGAGCACCCGGCCCCGCGGGACAGACCGACCACAGAGAAAGTGCATTTTCGCGGCAGCTCCTGGGCACGGGCCAGGCTGCCCACGGGAGCGCAGCCCCATCCCTGCCCGTGGCATCGCCCTCGCTGCTCCCGGCCACCCCAGGCACGAGCCCCATGCAGCCCCCTGCCCTCCCACCAGCGCGGGCGCCGGCAGCGGGATGCTCATTCCAAAGGCTCCTTGATCAGGCACTCCTTCAGGGTGGGCTGCTGCTGCAGGGGCGGCCCGGCCTCCTGCAGGTCCTGCAGCCGGGCCTCCGAGCGCCGCTTGTCCTTGCCCACCTTCCAGGCCAGGTGGACGTGGGCCTGCAGGAAGGGCCCCAGCAGCGGGTGGCTGCCTTGGGCCTCCAGCAGCTGCAGCGCCTGCTCGCAGCAGCCATGGGCCTCACCGAGCTCGTCCAGCTCCTGGTGGCAGACGGCCAGCCCGGCCAGCGTCAGGAGGAAGCGGCCGGAACTGCAGACCCCCAGCCGGTCCTGCAGCCTGTAGGCATTGGCCCAGGTGGCCAGGGCCTCGCGGTACATGCCGGTGCAGGTCAGGCGCTGCGCGGCCCGCAGGTCCTGCAGGAAGAAGAACTCGAGAAACTCGGGGGAGCGGCGGATCTCGGCGATGGAGTGCAGGTGGGACAGGAACTGCTCGAAGGCTCGGCTGCGCTTAGCGATGGTCTCAGCGGTGAAATTCCGGCGCAGCCTCTTCCTGGGGAAGGTGATGCCGGCCATGTCGCAGCCAAAGCGGCAGCGCAGGCGGCGGTTGAGCCGCTCAAAGTCCGAGTAGCGCCGGGCGATGGCAGCGGGGGCCTTGTCGAACCGGCCGGAGCGGATCAGGTAGATGGTGTAGAGCTGCGGGGGGAGTGGGGCGTCGGGCGGTGCTGCGGGCGCGCTGCTCCCGCGGGGCCGGGCAGAGCCGGCTGTGCGGCCGCAGAGGGGCCACGGCGGGGTTTGCCCAACAGAGAGAAATAAGCACCAGCCCCGTGGGAGCCCTGTCCCGGGAGGGAGCGGGACCCGCGCCTGCCCCGCACCCGCCCCACGCCCGCCCAGCCCCGCCGGGCTCACTCACCACGTACTTGGAGGAGCGCTCGCTGACCACGCTGGCGCTGGTGACCTCAAAGAGCAGCCGCTGTGGTGCCAGGCTGCCCCGCGACTTCCTCCACAGCTCCTGCAGCTGCCGGGTCAGCAGGCTGCTGCCAGGGCGCTCCGCCGCGGGGCCCCACTCTGCGCCAGGAGAGGGGCGTCAGCGTGCCCGTCGTTGGGATGGGGCTCTCCCAGTGCCCCGACGCCTCCGGGCCGCCAGCCCCCACCATCGCCCCGGTCCCCCCAGCGCGCCGGCCCCAGCACCTGCCTCCGTCCTCCGCACCCGCTGCCGCTCCTGTCGGCTGCGGCGGCTTGCCCAGCTCTTCTGCAGCACCATCCTCCTCCTCGTCCTCATCCTCCTCCTCGTGGCTGGTGAAGCTCAGGGTGCCGCTCAGGCG